ATTAGACTAGTTCTACTATCTGACCAAGTTTGGACGAAAAATGTTGAAAACTCGCAGAGTTATTTAATAAAATACATTTCGCTTGCAATAAGAAAAACATTGAAAATGTAGTATTCAAATTCAATTTTCTCCCGACGAATTTTACGGCAATTACTGATTTTTAAACGAGTTGTGCTCCTGCGGATTTCAACGAATTTTTCTCAAATTTTCACAGGACATAGCTAAAGACGTCAGTTTCAAAATGGTGTTCGGCTTTGTTCTAATTTTGGATATTTTAATAATAAGGAGCAATTCACACAAACGATTCAGAAATATATTGCAGTCGTCAAAGAAATCGCCATATCAGCGGAATGACGAAATAAACAAAAATTTCCGAACACAATTTTTTAGAACAACTATTTTACTGTATAAAAATGATATTTTCATAAATATATCTTAAAACCAGCAGGAGCACAACTCAAAAGCGTAAAGGTACCGCGATTTAAGATTTTCCTGAATAATTCTTACATTATTCTATTGTTTGTTAATTTTACAACTTTACCATATTTTGCATGCACTGGAGAACATTTGGTGAAAATTTGATGAAAATCGGACTGATATTGATCGCACAGTAGCGATTTTCCGCAAAACGCCAAAAAGGGTATCCTGTAACCTTAATTAACATGAAAACAAAACAATTACAAACATATATATATATATATATATATATATATATATATATATATATATATATATATATATATATATATATATATATATATATATTGAGGATTTCAGAAAAAATTGTGGTATGGATAAAGGGGAGGGACTTTCTGTAGATGATTTGATTGATTTAGCCAAAATTATATTAGATAACAATTATTTTGAATTCGGTGAAAAAGTGTATAAACAAAAGTTAGGGACAGCCATTGGCACAAAATTTGCTCCAGCGTTTGCAAATATTTTTATGGCAGAACTGGAAAATAAAATGTTGGCGGGGTATCACTTGAGTCCTTCAGTATGGTTCAGATTTTTGGATGATATATTTTTTATTTGGCTTCATGGTAAAGAATCCCTGTTGGAATTTTTAAATTATATTAACAATTATCATGAAACAATTAAATATACATGGGAATATTCGGAAAGGGGGGTGTCTTATTTGGATGTGCGGGTGGAATTGGAGTCTGGTTAATTGCAAACGGATGCGTATTCAAAACCGACTGATACACATCAATACTTAGACTTCAAGTCTTGTCATCCTGCACATGTGAAGAAGGCAATCCCCTATGGTCAGGCGCTAAGATTAAAACGGATTTGTAGTTCGGAAAAAGTTTTTCAGGATAGGCTTAAAGAAATGGAAGGTCATTTTATAAAGCGAGGATTTAACAAAAAGTTGGTTAAGGATCAGTTTTCTGAGGTTAAAGTTAAGGATAAGGCTGAAATGTTACACCAAACGGATAAGAGGAAGAATTCTAACTTGAGTAATAGAGTACCACTGGTAGTAGAATTTCATCCGGCATTAAAGGAAATCAATGGAATTGTGGAAACACTTTGGCCGATTCTGGAGACATCGGAGAGGATGAGGGATGTCTTCGGTAGTAGGCCGATTGTTTCATATAAGAGACCAAAAAATTTAAAAGATAGTTTGGTTAGATCTAAGGTTAAAAAGGTTAGGGAGGTAAGTGTAGGGATGAGTAAGTGTAATAAGAGTCGTTGTCAGATTTGTAATTATGTGGATGAGGGGAAAGAATTTCTCGAGGGAAAAGTAAAATACTACATTAATTACAACTTTGATTGCGATTCGGCTGGGGTGATTTATTTGATTTATTGTAGAAAATGTGGGAAAAAGTATGTGGGGAGTACAATTACTAGTTTTAGGAAACGTTTTAACAACCACAAAAGTAGCATGAATAGATATGGGAGAGGTGAAAGGGGTATGGCAGGCGAGCATTTGTATGCTCATTTTTTTTATCAAGGTCATAATGGTATGCAAGATGTGAAAGTTAAAATTATTGATAAAACTAATGTTGCATGTCCCACACAAAGAGAAGGTTTTTGGGCTTATAAACTGAATTCGTTTGAACCGCATGGGTTGAATTTAAAAGACTTTGTTTGAACAATAGAGTTAATCAAGCGAATTATTATAATTAGGTTATGGACAGTTTAAATAGTTGAAGTTGTTATATGAGCTCTGATGCATCATTGATTGATTTATATATATATATATATATATATATATATATATATATATATATATATATATATATATATATATATTTAACAATTATACCATGCGCTCGAGTCGTATATGAGCTGATAGCCGACGAGGTGCGTAGCACCGAGTCGGCTATCAGCCATATACGACGAGAGCGAATGGTATAATTGTTTTATAATATAGTCTAATATAGCCATTAAGTGAAGCAGTAATTAATTATTCACTGTTACAATGTGTTGACAATTTGTTCGGCCAAAAACCGCTTGAAAATTTGAAATACTTTTGTTTTACAACTCCAAGACGAAGTGAAAGAAATGGTTTTAGAACCTCTATAT